GACATCGACAGCATTCCACTCGGTCAGATTTCCCTCGTGAAGCACCGCATTATTACAGCTGATTCTCCTCCCATTCATCGCCGACCATACCAGGTGTATGCCATGAAGCGTAAGGTAATTCAAGAAGAAGTCAACAAGATGCTAGCCAAAGGAATTATTCAACCCTCCTCGAGCCCTTGGGCACCTCCTGTTGTGCTCGTTAAAAAGAAAGATGACACGTGGCGCTTCTGCGTTGATTACCGCCATATTAATCGAATCACGAAAAAGGATGTTTATCATTTGCCCCGAATTGATGACGTCCTCGATTGTCTCCATGGCGCACGATACTTTTCTTCAATTGACCTACGTTCTAGCTATTGGCAGATTGCGGTGGACGAGAAAGACCAAGAGAAGACTGTTTTTGTAACTCCCGACGGCCTATACTAACTCAAGGTGATGCCGGATGGGCTATGCAACGACCCAGCCACGTTTGAGCGTATGATGGAATCGCTATTGCAAGGGTTTAAGTGGTCAACATGCTTGTGTTACCTGGAATGATGTCATTGTATATTCGCCTACATTTGAGACACAACTCCAGCGTTTGTCAGCGGTTCTCGACATCTGCCGCACTGCTGGCCTTCAACCAAACTCATCGAAATGTCGTTTCGGCCGCCAGAAGATTACGGTGTTGGGCCACCTTGTCGACGCATCAGGTGTGCAGCCTGACCCAGAGAAAATTTGTGCCATCACGAGCTTTCCTACATTCCAGTCTGTCAAGGACGTCCGCAGATTTGTGGGACTTTTTTTCTATTTTAGAAGGTTCGTCAAAATTTTGCAACGATCACTCGATCACTCACCGAACTCCTGAAGAAAAACGTGACTTTTACGTGTGGTTCCACTCAAGCTTCCGCTTTTTCTCAACTCATCACCGTCCTCACGACTTCACCTATATTGGCCCACTTTGACCCGTCCACTCCAACAAAAGTTACAAACGATGCGAGTGGTCACGGGTTTGGAGCCGTCCAAGCCCAACGCCAGTGGGGATACGACCGAGTCATCGCCTACGCTAGCCGCCTTCACACAGCTGCCGAGCTCAACTATTCAATAACAGAGCGTGAATGTCTTACTGTTGTTTGGGCAGTCACGAAGTTCCGCCCATATTTATATGGCACGAGTTTCTCGGTAATAACGGACCACCAAGCGCTGTGTTGGCTTTCGTCACTGAAGAATCCTACTGGCCGGCTCGCGCGCTGGCCTCTGCGACTGCAAGAGTATACCTATGCGGTTGCGTACTATTCCGGATGCCTACATCAGGACGTAGACTGCCTGTCCCGCTACCCGGTTGCTGAGTCGAGCTCTATACCTGACACCGATACCGAGCATGGCGTCTTTTCCCTTTCACAAACGACATGCATCGGTGACGAGCGTCCTTGATTCGTCCTTGCGTGCTATACTTGAGCGCCTCGAATAACCATCTTCCAATCAGTCCCATCGCTCATTCGTGCTCTATGGTGGTGTATTACACCGCCAAAGTTTTGAGCCGGATAGACCAGCCCTGCTGCTTGTCATTCCAAAACACCTTCGCTCGGAAGTTCTACTTGAGCTTCATGACCTTCCGACTGCTGGTCACCTTGGTGTGTCATGCACTTACGACCGAATACGCCGACGCTTAATTTGACCAGGGCTTGCACGCTCAGTCAGAAGATACGTTGCGGCTTGTGAGAAATGCCAGCGCCGCAAAACACAATCGATACTTCCCGCCGGATGCCTTCAACCACTTGACCACTCTTCCGTGTTGAACCATCAGAACCACTCTTCCGTGTTAGCTTGGACCTACTTGGCCCTTTTCTCTTGTCTTCCTCGGGTAACAAGTGGGTAGCCACGGCCACCGACTACGCCACGCATTATGCCATCACACGAGCTCTTGCAACAAGCTGCGCCACAGATGTCGCCGACTTCCTCCTTAAGGAGGTGACTTTGCAACACGGAGCCCCAGGGCAGCTGCTTACAGACCGTGGCTGCACCTTTTGTTGAAGGTGATAGCCGCCATCTTGCAATCCTGTCAAACGTGACACAAGCTGACTACGTCATACTAGCCGCAAACCAATGAACTCACGGAGCGTCTAAACCGAACTCTTACAAACATGCTCACTAAGTATGTTTCTGCCAACCATACTGACTGGGACCTCACGTTGCCATACGTCACATTTGCCCATAATTCTTCTGGCCATGACACAGCCGCTCAATTCCCATTTTTTCCGTTGTTCGGCCGAGAACCTACATTACCCCTAGATACAGTCATTCCGTCTACCACGACACCGACCAACAAATATGTCCTTGACGCTAGTACTCGGGCTGCCCTTCACGCGAAATCACCCGCGCTCACTTCCTGGCCTCTCAAGAAAACCAGCAGTGTTTGTACGATCAACGGCACCGCGACGTGCACTTCTTACTCGCATCATTGGTGCTGCTGTGGTCCCCGACCCGTCAAGTCGGCTTGTCGGAAAAAACCTATTTTCCGCTACACGGACCCATATTGAGTGTTTCGTGAAATTACTCCTCTGACATACCAAATTGCTCCTGCTGCCCCATCGCCTTCAACTGCCTCACCGACCATCGATATTATACATGTGGCACGCTCGGAGCTATACCACTCTCCCGCTGACGTTGACATCTAGATGCGCCGAGACGGCGCTTCTGCCGCCGGGGATTATGCTACATGCATGTTGACAATTCGTGGGACGATGCGCGTGTGTGCCTGACTAAAAAGACGATGGTGGTCTCCGCTCGACCGCTGGCGAACCGGTCTCGTCATTACTGGTGGTTTTAAGTACATCTCATCCACAGCCTCGTCGATACGGCGTCGCGTCTTATCCATAACAGTATGAAAGCACAAGATGAAACTTCATTATATGTGGTATTATCTGAAGATGAAAACAAGAAAGACTTAATTTGCGCTTAGTTTGCAGATTGTGCTCAAGGTAATGTCATAACACAAACACATATGACTCCCCCCCACCCATAACGAAAAGGTCTGACGCAGACCGCTTGTGTTTGTTGCGTCTTTTCTTCTTGAGGCACTTTGTGGGTACATGCTGTTACTTCAGCCTTACAATATCATAATCATTGTCCTTTCATTTATCTGAGGGAGGGGGGGGTGCTCTTGAGGAACCCTGCCATTTTACGTGCTTTTGTCGTATTGAATTTATTGCACAGGACAGCTCTGTTGCCTTTATATTTTGTTGCCTATACGCACACTCGCTAGACATCAAAGTGGTAGCAGTCTTGGAAGCATACAGAACTTTCCTGCAAATAATCACGAACACAGCAATGTCGCGTCCACATTGTGCATCACAGCCTACAATACAACAGCAAGTGGCGCATATTTGCGAGGAAGAATCAGCTTCTATCAGCGGGGAACTGTATCTTGCAAGCATATAGAAAAGGGAAAAATTAAGGAAACTCCCGCAAAGCGCACCCTAACGTGTCTAAAAAACGTTAGCACATAACGTTTCAGTCGCAGCTGTAAACAGTTAAACTGCAAGTGTGAAAGGAACTAAAAAATATGGCTGATGTGCTCGTACGACTGCAACCCATCGCCTAAAATTGTAAACAGTGGTTAAGAGGCCGATTGCAAGCGAGGCAAACAAGCGAAAGCACCTCGAGCTTGCAAGGTCGCATCAAGAATAGACCGAGGACCACAGGGATAAAAGGTGGTTCTCACAGACGAATCATCGTTTACGACATGGTTACGACAAGGCAGCGAGTCAGGCGGCCACTAAACTGACGTTCCCACACCGCAGCGCACAGAGCATATTGGGGCTAGACTGGCGGTGAAGGTGAACCTACGAGCTGTGTGTGTGTCGTGTTTTTTTTTTTTTTTTTTTGAGGCCCTGTCGTGTTGCGCTTCGGCGTGTTAATTATGAATCCTGGCCAACTAATCCGCCAACGTGTCCTAAAGAACCTCAATTATATGCTGTTCTAGCACACGCTGCTTTCATAAGTTTGTGCGATGCCACCTCTTAAAAAAGGCACCAACTACAACAAAAACAAGAAAGACGTTTGGCAGTGCGTAGAAGACGCGGTGAGTAAAGGCTGGCACTCATGACGCCAAACTTTTCCGCACATGAGAGTGGCTGAGTAAGTTACTTTTACGGGTCATTCGTGTCTCAGTGAGGTGAAAAGGGCCTTCATTTTTTCTTCGTGGAATTTGTACGTAAGGTCAAAGATAAACTACCTTAGCAAGTACTGGCACTACCGCCCACTGGCTACATCCCTACTGCGTGAAGTATAGAATTGCATGCACTAGGCTATATCGCTATAGTGGAGGTGCACTAGTGTACACATTGACATCTACTGCGCTCTTAAGGCATGCAGCGTAAAACTGCTTGATCGATTGATATGTGGCGTTTAACGTCACAAAACCATGATATGATTATGAGAGACGCCATAATGGAGGGCTCCGGAAATTTTGACCTCCTGGGGTTCTTTAACGTGCACCCAACTCTGAGCACACGGGCCTACAACATTTCCGCCTCCATCGGAAATGGAGCCGCCGCAGCCGGGATTAGATCCCGCGACCTGCGGGTCAGCAGCCGAGTACCTTAGCCACTATACCACCGTGGCGGGCATACAGCGTGAAACTGCGCGTTCTATTATCAAACAAATAGGAAGTTATACATCAGATCACAAATTTCCGGGAGAACGGGTTTTAAACTCACCTATGAAAACTATTAGAACAATTCTTCATTTTGCTAATACCAGAAGCAATCTCGCAGAAGTACAATTTATCTGCCTTTCTTCATTGCAGCGTCTGTATGCAGCACGAGTACAATAAATCGACATAATTTTTTTTCTTTAAGTAGGACCCTATCACACCAGCTTTATGTATTATGTTTGTTTTGCTTCTGATCAGAGCCTTCGCGTACAATACGGGTTTCTTGATAATACATGTCTACAAAAGAATTATGAAAGCATTAAGCAAAAAAGAGCAGCAATGTGTTGGTGCGCGTTAACCTGACGCCGGCTTTGTTGCAGCGACGAACCATGTCACGGAATTGAGTCTCGTTTCCACTGCGAGTTTCAATTTTGTAACTGACAGGCTGGTATCTTTCGTACCACGGTCGTTTCTTCTTCTCTACGAATCCCATACCGTGCTCATTTACTGGTGATGTCTGTTTAAAATAAACACATGGGTATCGATCGTGGAAAACGGGATGATGAAAGAATTGAATGAATAAAACAGTGACAGTTGTTAAGGTTAATATTTTTTGTATTTTCAACCCCGATAACATAGAAGCGGCAAATCCGATAGATCGGCTGATCAAAATCCTTATTGTCAACTTTGGAGCGTGTGCTCGTGCGCAGCGGGCTGCTCACACGTCGGGACTGAAAGGCTTCATCTCTCCGGCACGACGAGGGCCCATTGTACAGCTAAAACTCTTTATTGAAGTTGGAGCTGCGTAGAGCCACCTGCAAGTTTTAGCTGTTACCTTCGTCGCCGACATGCCAGAAGATATGCTTTACGTTCGCCATGCTTTTATTGCGGTGACAATTACATTGACGCTCTCGGCTGGATTTCGCCGCCGGCGTCAGTGTCGATGTCATGCACCGTATATATATATATATATATATATATATATATATATATATATTGATATATATATATATATATATATATATATATATATATATATATATATATATATATATATATATATATATATATATATATATATATATATATATATACGCAAGGAATACAACACTCTAGAAAAAAGACTCCGCCACGTGGCATGAAACGTGCAACCTGCGCGTCGTAAATGCAAGGCGTTAACCACTGAACCACCGTGGGGTACCTCCTAGGACATACAAACGGCAAGCTTATTTATATCTACCACTCACCGCTGTTTCCTGGTATCTCGGGGGGGGGGGGGCTGTTGTATTTTTAGCATTATCAGCAAGATGGCGCAGTGAGCGTGCGGCGGCTCTTAGCGCTCACGCGTACTTTGGCCCACGTGGGGAATAAGGGGTGTACGCTCGATCACGCACCCTTATAGGGGAGACCCGCTCAAGTTTGCCTGGCGACGCCAGCGATTGCCTTTCCCCTGCCAGAAAAAGCGCACAACAGTAGCGTCTTCCAACCCTTCCACTCCCTTTGGCTTCCACGCATTTGCGAAGCGCGCGCTGCACGTGAAACGTCCCTCGTTCCGCGATGTCATCCCAACAGAAAAGAAGGAACTATTACGGCGTCGTCAACAGTCACAATAACCATACAAACACGAAGGGGTCGACTCCACCAGTGAAATTCTACCGATTCCCAAACCGATCGTATGAAACAAACAGACGACAGGAATGGATTAAAGCAGTGCGCCGAAAAAAGTAAGTAAACAATTTTTTCGTGGAAATTAGCAGGCACACTATGCCATAAAAATAATAGGTGTTCATTTCTGCGTCACCGTTCCTCTAATCTATGTAGTTTCTGGGAACTGCACGCCCCCATCTTAAAAGTATAAATTTTCAACGTCCATCTTTAGAGCGCTGTTAAAAATAGCGATAAAATATTTTATGCTGCTACTATTATTCTATATTGTTGGGGACCTAGTAGTTGAACCTGTGTACACATGTGGTATTAGTGATGTGTTGTTATATATTTTAATATCTACGCAGCGCCGACAGAAGTGTGTGGTTGCCAAAAGCTTGGACAATGATTTGTGGCAGACATTTTGTGAGAAACTGCAAAAATGACTCAAGTCTGCACCCGTCTTATGTGCCGACATTGTTTCCAGCGGCTTACAAAAAACGGGCACCTCACGCGGAAACGGCGCAGAGGTATGATAGGCAGTGAAGCGCATAACTATCTATGCATTTTAAAGCATTTTCTGAGGACTCTTGATTCCTCGTTTCAAGCTCAGTGAGAATTCGTTCCGCGTATGCGCAATGATGAAGTCAAGCGAAAATAGCAGGGTTTTGATCGAACATGGCACTTTAGCGCCGTTACATTTTAAGGGTAAGATTGGAACGCGGTTAGTAACAAGCACATTATTTTTTTAATAGTTTTAGTACAACGTAAAAACGATTCAAGCAACAGACAATGCAAAATGTTTAATCAATAAATTTTCATACACAGCTATCTCCGTGAAGTTCTTGTATGAAGTGTTTCTTTGCACACAGATGGACACAATTGTAGTTTTTTTAATGAGGCGTTTTTCCATCGTAAATGTTTTTATATAGTTTGATTTCGTATGTAGTACTTGTTTTATTTTGTGAATGTAAGGCGTTACTAACAGGATCACGGAAACTGCGTCTACTCATTTTCAGACTTCTTGTACAATTTATACTTTGAAGATGATAAAAAAACTATTATTGTCTGCCGCACTACAGATATGCTCAATGATGATCACCGTACAATATCTGCATAAAAAAAACTTCAACTTATGAACGTCGTTGTGAACGCCACGATCTAATCTCTGCCACAACTTTATTTTGCTTAGGTGGAAGCGTCATTCTGTGAGGTCAGCCGGATCAGCACAAAATTCTGTGAAGCAGGCTGTGCCACAAGGTATTGCTCAAGACGACCCAGCAATGCAAGATGAAGAGAACTCTGTTTTCCTCGATGTCTATGACTCGCTTTCAAGCGATTTAGAATCGCTAGAGACGCCAGCGATGTAATTACATTTGCCGCTGGAGATGCGACGCTCCCGCTTGAGTGGACACGACCACGAGAACTATGAAAAAAAGAAAAAATACATTGGCCGTTGTTGCGCGTCCGTTGGCAGATACAGTGAACTAGTTGTTACTGAGTGTGCAGGGGCAGCCCGAACAACACGGTGCATTTTTGATACGTGACCAAGATAAAATGTCTTTATAGCAATGCGCTCCTCCCCTGCAGATTAGACAAACACAAAAAAGTTTCTCTGAAAGCTGGGCGCTCATCATGATGGTACGCACGCTGTTTGTGAACTCAAAGTACCCGTGATGAGAACGGTGATAATGCAAGGAAAGACACGCGAGATAGATGTCAATTTTCCTTGTGGGTGGGAAAGAAGCCCCAAATAGACCCTTTATTTTTGAAGTGCTGTGTATATACCGCACGATAACTTGGGTCGGTGCTAGTAAATTAAGGTATCCCAACTAATAGCAGTCACAGCGCAAGAACCGCTTAACCTAAAGCACGAGAAGCGGCCTTACCCAAGCATCCAGTAACAAACATAGTGCATAGTACACACAGTAAACCAAATAAAACAGGTATATTTTATATGAACGTACAGACAGTTTTATTCACATCTAACGTCGTAATCAGCGTCGTCTTTCACTTGCGAAACGCACTTCGCTCTGACGAGGACGGCGTCGTCTGCTACAACTTGCTTCGCTGCCCTTTTACTAAATTGCTTCCACGAAAAAAATCCTCAATTCCGGCATCATATTAAATGCGGACAGAGCGTATACATCATATCCACGCGCGACGCGAGACTCTCAAAAACACGTGCAGAACGTGTGCAGCGTACGAGCAAAGCAACGCGTTTTCAAGTAGGTTGAAAGGGACAGCGGAGGGGCCAACACTCGAGTAACCAGTTTTCTCCCCACATTGACTGACAGTGCCACGCTCCGCAGCGCCTCCCTCGGCGTGGGTCTCCTCTATCTTGCTGTGGGGATGATCGTACATCTTGGCTAGCCTTTGCATTTCGCCGGAGTGGTTCTGTTGTAGTTTCCGGGCGCACGAAGGTCACTGCAATTGTTGCACAGTTTCTATTTGCGAAAAGGGCGCGCTTTTCAGACACAGCGAAGTAACAACTGAGATGCTTATTCGCGTTCATCTGTACCTGTAGGTACGTTTCGTGCATCATTTTTGCGTGAGAAACGCGGGGCACGTTTCAATCTGCTTGTCATTCTGCGCGTGACCTTCCAATTTGTTGCTATCGCATTCATTGCTTCGTCTTTGCGGCAAAGCTGTGACTTTCTGTATATTGGACATGCCAATGTCTGTATGTATGGGTAAAGTCATATTGAGGAGCACGGTATTTGGTTTCGCTCTCATACGTAGAAGGCTTAGTATTAACTTCTGAGTTCTGCTGAGTGCACAGTGTGAGAAGAGACGAAGGCTCCGAGCCAAGCAAAAGTGCAGGTTAAAGTGGATTTAATCCGTCTTACGTCATGGTAGCTGGTATATGCACTGCGCCTTTTCTTTATTACTAAACCTCATTGACGGAGACAATTGTTTATGGGAGGCCTCAGGAAGAAGTGTATCCAACTCGGCTTCTTTATTAGCTATTATTAAATAAGCGACGAACATGCACGGTTCTCACCTCTAAAACATTAGACACCTGTTGGCGGTGCCGGTAATCACAGATGTATTAGGCGGTTGAGCAAAACCATACATTAGCTACTTTGATACTGATGCACGTCATGCAAAGCTGCGCATATCCGTAAAACCAGTAGCTTTCTAGAATTTGATGATAAATACAAACAGTTAGAGCTGAAAAGAAAAAAACTGTTCGCAACCCTGTACGTCTCAAAATGAACCATTCGAAAATAATATTTTAATTTTAAAATTTTATGGAGAGCAGGCCTGCTCGATTTTGTTCCGTAACGCCTTTTTCAGCTTTTTTTTAACGAGTGCTATGCACAGGAGGTGTTCAATCACGCAAACACGTAACTTATTATTACAAAAGTGGCTCTTCGCAGCTGTCGGGGATTGTAGGCTTTTGTACATTTTAGTTTCTCACCCCGCCCCTGTCATGCTGAAATTCTGCACGTGGAGCCAATCTAAAGTAAACTAGTCATTCCATTCGGCCGTTTGGACGCCCTCCTAATTGTTCGTGTGTCATGTTAGTGGTCAGGAAACAGACCGCTCATGGTAACACCACCTTCCATGTTAATTAGCTTAATAAATTCTACAAAACTCATGTCTTCATAGTTCTGTGAAAATTTATATTCTCTGAAATTCCTCGTTTAAAGCATCACTGATATGCCATTAGAATGTTCTAGCACAGCATACTTGGCGTCAGCAATGGCGTTACTCTCGTAAGAACGCTGCGTTTATCCAATGCGCATAAACGGTGCTTCTGGGCAAGCGTGCAAAGCCAAACATCGTGCTGTAACGTACGAAATGCCGTTACGGATGCCACGCAAGCCATGTTGCAGCTCGCGATTACCATAAACATGTTCGCAGAGCTATGGCGAAGCTTAGAACTGTATCAGGACCACGAATTCGCTCTGTCGTTAAGTGATCTTACAACAAAAGCTGTTGTGGGATCACAACACCGGTCACGTGCGGTGCTGTAGTTGTCCGTCGCCGCCGGTGTCGGTAACTACTATCACACAAAATAAGAAATAAATCTCAGTAAATGAAAATTCAAAAGGCGTAGTGCGATACGAACTCGGGTCCCCTGCGTGCCAGCGCAGTATTCTGCCGCCGAGCCATGGCGGAGCTTAGAACTCGCTTGCAAACTTGCCCTATAGGCAGGCTTGATGTCGGGAAAGGAAGCGCGTTAATATGAGTAATAAAGCGTTTTAAATTGTATAGGAACAACCAGGCGTCACACAATGCGAATTGCGCAACGAGTGGGTCATCCAACGCTGCAACCGATTACAAGGCTTTTTATTGATTACCTATAATTGCAGAGCATACCCATAATTCCAGACATAATTCTTCATCTTTGTCAACCACTGCATGAAAAATTAGAACAAAATTTCTCGCAAATGTGTGGTGGATATCAGGATTCTCTGAAGAATGACAGAAGATAGCATAATGAATGCCGGCCCACTACCCATAAAGTATGCTTATTTATTGCGTAGTGGGTACACAGCAAGCGTGCTTGTAGCACTTACCAAAACAATGTTCAGAAAAGTCTCTTTAAGGCTGCTCAACCAGCTTTCGCGAATGTGCTGCGCGTTCCGTGGAAGCCTGGCGTTTTTTTTTCTTCATTTAGTGACGTTTTGATCTAGCTGTGGACGATCTTGTGGGCCGTGATATATTCATAATTATTCTGATAACGAAAAATTGGTATGAGCCAAGGTGTAACGAAAAGCAACCGAATAACGACCAAGCTTGTGTATGCAATGTACGACACCCCCCTGCACGTTCGGCGCACTCTGGTTCAATAACGCTTTAATCGTGGTCTTAAACATCGAATATTAATATTCCAAATTTCGTGTTAATTTGGAACTTTTTTAAAAAACGAGTAAGAGAAAAATGCCATGCTTTAAAGGCGATAACGCGCTTTATTTAAACAAATGTCCTGATATCACTATAAAAACGGTTGTACTGTTTTTGTTGATAACTAATTTAAGGGAACTTCTAGGTGCGGCAAAGAGCCTCAGTTACTAAGCATAACTTGCGGGCAAAGACGACAGGTTCCTCACTGTAACATTCCGCTAAAAGGTCTTTATATTCTAGAAAGGAGCCCCCTGCAACACTAGCATAGCTAACATTTCTTTGGGGCTAGGAGGTGCGGGTGGCGTGTTCAGCCGCACTTTATGTTGGTTCGTGGCTGCGTTTGTATGTGTGTGTGTATATGTCAACAAGCAAGACCGAACAATTTCAGGTGGGCAGGGTGGAGGGGGCCTGAATGCTGGTCCGCCTTTTTTCCCTCGGCTAAGCAAGGGTCTGTATGCAGGTTGGCCCACATAGCTTGGCTAAAATCTTACGTTAGGTATATAAGGTGCACCGGAAGCAACATGAACCGAGTGCATTCTATTCACACGAGCTGACAGCTACTAAGGCTTTTTTTTTTATTTTCCAACCACTAATAGATCATGCTCCAGTGGCACATCGTTTAAGTTATAGACTGAATACATAAATTATGACCGCAACGTCGTATTCTCTGGTATGTTTACCATTGATGTTGCTTGTAGGCGTATCTATCTATCTATCCATCCATACATCCATCCATCCATCCATCCATCTATCTATCTATCTATCTATCTATCTATCTATCTATCTATCTATCTATCTGCCTATGCATCAGATGTAACTTTCTCACAGCATGCTACATGTACAATTCGAGGAACATGGATTCAACCGTAACGTATAGCCCCGCCGCGGTGGTCTAGTGGCTAAGCTACTCGGCTGCTGACCCGCAGGTCGCGGGTCCAAATCCCAGCTGCGGCGGCTGCATTTCCGATGGAGGCGGAAATGTCGAGGCCCGTGTGCTCAGATTTGGGTGCACGTTAAAGAACCCCAGGTGGTCAAAATTTCCGGAGCCCTCCACTACGGCGTCTCTCATAATCATATGGTGGTTTTGGGACGTTAAACCCCACAAATCAATCATCAACCGTAACGTATAGGCTCTTTAAAGAATATAAGGAAGTAGTCGCTATCGCACGGTGGTAGAAAAACTTTTGGTCTGTATAAGGATGTATGAAAAGTGTACATGTGTTACAAGGTAATTATAAACATGACGACAAAACGTGCGACTTGCCTGAACACCGCCGTAGCCACGCGGTCCAAGAAACCTCTCGCATTCTTCGGCAATGTCGTCGAACCTCCACTCAAATAAGTGCACGATCACACTTCGACCGGGTACCATATTCGGCTCATTGTTGGTTCCATAGACATAGAGGCAGAAGAGAAAAACTATAGCCCTTGATCGTAGGTAAGTTTGCGACGTCCACATAATTTTGCTTGCAAGCCGACCTGCGTCTGGCCTAGTACTATTTGGCCAAGAAAGCAGGTGATAGCTCACTTAGCGTTGGCCTTCCATCCACAGAGAGAGCGTGTGATGTTTACTTTATTTTTCTCTTTCGTCCATAAGGTATGATCGAGGCCGTCTCTCGAAGAGCGTTCCTTTCTAAGCGTGTTTTATTGCTAAAGGCTGACAGCGACAGACACGAGATGTTCCGCGTACAAATGCGCGACTGCCTCTTCATCTTGTGAAGGGTTTATGAAGTGTGCCGAAGTGGCTTTTGCGTATATCTCACGCAGGCGATGCGTTATGTACGCGTGAGCGACCACCCCTGTGAGTGGCCGTGTTTGAGAGGCCTTTGGATAAAAAGAATTCTCGGTGTCGTAAAGTGGTTTCGCAATAATGCGGTCTTTCGCACCACAAGATAACTGAGAATACACGTACAGGGGGGGAGCACTCTTGGGCTGAACACGCGAGCTCACTGTGAGCGTCGCGTAAAGCACATCGGCAGAAGCACTGCACATGCGGTGCACGTACTTTGCGATACCCTCTTTCCACTAGGCCCACACGTCATGTATACTTTTGTTTGTCATCCGCTAGCCGCATTTTTTGTCGGCTAAACCAGCGTGTTCAGCTTTTCAAGGTACATTTCGATAAAAAATTGGTGCGTGAATACCAATATGAGTATGCAGCAATTTACTTTTTGACTGTTGAAGAAAGAAATCTGGTAAGAATGATGATGACTGATGATTAGTGGAGGTTAGAGGCGCAAGGGCCATGCGTGGCCAAAAAGCGCCATACCCTTTATTATGTAAGGAATGACCAATGATTGCGATGACAGGGTGAATTGTGGCTGTATAGAGGCCTAAAACCACATGCTATATGCAAGCATAAAAGGTGTGTATAGATTATAAATTTATGGCATTGATATGTGGTGTGATTCAAGGGTGTGGGATGAATTCCAAATAACAATGGTACCTACAAGTGAGCGATTGGGAAAAAAAAGCAAGAATGCTTTCTCAAGGTTTTTGTTGCCAAAGTCAATAAGGAAGTGGGTGCTCCTGCTAGTAGCTACCGCAAAATCAGCCTCTGTGGAGAGGCCGTCCTATGGATTTTCTTGATATATGACATAAAAGCTATGAATATCATTTAAAAATGCAAACAATGACTCATATTTCAAAATCGGCTCTTTACGCATTTGAAGATACACAGGAGTTTGTTTGCGGGAAGCTAACGAAAGTGCTTTTTTCTAATGGTGTCTAACTCAGCGCATTGAATGAAGATGTGAATGACAGTGAGTGGTTCACCGCACTTATCGCATAAAGGTAAATCATCACTGGACAAAAAAATGATTGCGATGTGCGCGTGTCCTATACTTAATGTGGCGAGTGTGACTTGTGTGTGGCGTGATATCGAAACTGACGACCAGCTCCCTAGATGTGTCTTTATCAGATGACGTTTTTTCTGCGTTTGTCTGTCCCATAGCCGCTGCCTTTCTTTTAGGATATGGCTTCAAGTCAAGTGCAGGAAGAGCTATGGATGTATTGGCAGCGCTCTCCTGGGTAGATGCTGCTAGTGGATCCGCCAACACACTTCCATGGATGTCGTGGTGCCCTGTCACCCAGCACACCTCAATATGCTGTCTAGGAGTTGGAGCTTCGCATATTATTGTGTATAGTGAGACGAGGACATGATTTGTGTGTTTTTTATTCTTTCCAAAGCCTTTACCACACTCAGAGAATCGGCGTATATTACTGCAATCTATAGTTTTAATTCTTTATAGTGTTTTATGACTACAAGAATCGCATAGGCTTCTGCTGTGAAAATGCTTGTATTCCACTGCAGAACGCCGACATATGAATAAAATGAACTGGCGGCTGCGTATGACACACAAGTGTGAGATTTAGATTCATCCGTAAAGAACTCGGGACAGGTGTACTTGTGTTACAGTCCAAGAAGGTATGTTCGGATATGTTGAATAGGTACATGTTTCGTGACTTCCATGAATGACACATAACAATCCATTACTCTCCACTGCCATGGCGGGAGATTTGCTGAGGGGGCTGCCAGATGCTGCTCGAAGAGCGCCACACCCGTTTCCTCCGCCAGGTCCCTCACACGAAGTGCGTAGGGCTGTCGTAGCGAAGAGCGGTTGTGAAAAAGAGTTGAGGAGTACACGTTATTGACTATTGGGTTTGAGGAGGTGATCCTTGTTTGCATTCACCTTTAGGAAACATACAAATGATATGTAAAACCTCTGCAGATAAAGTGACCGGTCATTCGACTCAGCATAGAGGCTTTCTAGGGGACTATAGTGCGAAAAGCACCCGTAGATAGGCGAATGCCTAGATGATGGACAGGATCAAGCATTTGTAAGGCACTTTCTGTTACAAACTGATAGATTATTGCCCCCGTAGTCTAAGTGATTGCAAATGAGGATTTTGTACAAATCAATCTGGCACTTTTTATCACTACCACATGTGCATTGTGACAACATTTTAGGATATTATTTGTTTTTATGAATTTATTTTTCAAACGCCTAATGTGTGTTATGAATGTCAGTTTGCTATACACGATTAAGCTTAAGAATTTGTACTCCGTCTTCATGGAGAAATGCTGACCATCAAGGTGGATATCTGGGTTAGCACAAAGGCCTCGCTTCCGAGAGAACAGGACGCAAGTACTTTTTTGAGCATTAAAACTGAAACCATTCTGAACTGACCATGTTGTGATCTTGCCCAGAACTAGTTGCACCTGTCACTCACACATTCAAAGATTGCATGACTTAAAACCTATTTGCATCGTCGACAAATGCGCAATAGAATATATTTCGTGGACTGCAAAGACGCAAGGAATTTATCTTCATAATAAAAAGAGTGAAACTAAGCACAACACCCTGTGGCAAACATGTCTCTTGTACAAATGTTTGGGACAACACGTTGGCCACCCGCACACGAAATGTCCAGTTGGACAAGTAACTTTCGATTATGGTGAACAATCTACCGTGCACGCCAAGGTGGTGCAGGTCTCTTAATATACCAAAGCGCCATGTCGTGTCATAAGCTTTTTCCACATTGAGGAAGACTGATAGAAAATATTCATTGTGGACAAAAGCGTCTCGGATCTCTGCCTTGATACGTAGCAGGTGGTCAGTGGTAGATCTGCCTTCTCGAAACCTTCACTGGTACGGCTCAAGTAGCCTGTTTGTTTCAACGAAGTGTATATATCATCTTCTCAAAGAGTTTACATGTGCAACTTGTCAATGCCATGGGCCTTTAATTCACCTCGGAAGATAGGCACTTGCCCTGTTTCAAAATGGGTATAACGATGGCCTCTATTCAGGAAGCAGGTATCGCACCCGAACACCATTTAGCATCGTAGAAAGAAAGTATGGTGCTCTGTGTTTCAGCAGGTAGGTTTCTAAACATTTCGTGAAATACACGAACGGAACCAGGGGCAGACGTGTCGCAGCAGTTTAGAGATGCCTATAGCTCAGGTAAACAATACGGTTCACTATAAGCTTCGTAATTTGTACATTCTTGCTCTAGCTTCTGCTTTTCTATTCTTGTTTTATAGCGTTAAAAGGCCTCAGAATATTGCAAAGAGCTGGACACGTGTTGGAAGTGTTCGCCCCGAAAGTTTGCCTGATCTTCAAAACTCTTGCTTAGTGCGTTCACCAGTGGGAGCGAACATGCCTATATTTTGATAATTCTACTGACCTTGCTCCAGGCTTTACCCTCGTGTGTATAGGAAGTGATACCCGCTAGAAACTTTTGCCAACTTTCCCGTCTGGATTATCGCCGCGTCCTCCTACCTTCAGACTTTATGTTTTAAAAGTTAGTGAGGTGTTCTGCTATTGATTGCGCAGCAACCTACAGGCTTTGTTTTGTTTCTTGCGCGCGTTTCGACAATCGTCATTCCACCATGACACAAGTCGTTTTCCAGACTTCCCATTTGATTGTTGAATGCGTTTTGTTGCATAGTCGATCAGAAAAGCTGTAATGCTGTCAACTGCAGCTTCTATGTTTAAGGTACACAGGTCAGCCCAACTTAACAGAGTGAGGTTTCTAAAATGTTCCCAGTCGGCTGCCTCCGTCTGCCATTAAGTATCTAGTGAAGGACATGAATTTGCTATTGGTGCACTTAGAATTACTGGGAAGTGGTCACGTCCATATGGATTCCTTATAGCTTCCCAATCAAGGAAGGGAAGAAGAAACGGAAATGCAATGCTGAGTATTCGACCATTCCAGTGACTGTAGGCGGCGCGATGGTACGTCGAAATGGCGGACGAGACGGTGATGTCGCGAGCGTGCACGTCAGCGTCGCAAAGCGTGAAGAAGCGTCCATTGGTTCATAACTACTGAGACACCGAACAACTGCGTCGCAAATTTTCACCGTGTGAAAGCTTCGAAGCATGGCTGCATGGCGCCCCTCCGTCGCCTAAATCACCGAATAGAAGAGATTGTTTATTTGCGAGGTTGTAATATGTTGGGACATTTCATTAAAAAAACACGCACCGGAAGAAAAAAGAAATTGTTCAATCAGGTGACCTCGTGCATCCAACGGCAATAACACCAGAGACTCTTATGTGAATTGAAGTACCCAAGGACTAGATACGATTCTCGTAGCTCGTCTATTAGGAACTGTAATTCATGTTTTTGTAAATTGCGGTGTTGAGGTATGTAGACAGAACAAATTGTGGTGAGTTTATTGAAGATAACGGCTCGAACAGCCACTGCCTCAAGGACAGTGTGAAGAGGCCCATGTCTGCATGATATTCCTTGGTTAGCAGTAACAGCTACACTACTCGATAATGCCATTGCATCATCTCGATCCCTTCAAGAAATGTTATAATTTCATAAAACAATTGCACGTTTTTCTTTCAAGTGGGTCTCTTGTATACACAGCACTTATTGATGGAGTTTGTGGAGCAGTTTTCGTAGGACATCGAGCTTTACAAGAAGGCCTCGAATATTCCACTGCAGTATTTG